GTGATTTGCTCAAGGTTTTTGATATTGATTACAGCCATGAAGTATGAAATTTCGTCCTTGAATCGCAATAAAAGATTCTCGCAGCGGCAAGTGAAGATGCGAGCTGTACAAACGCAGATGAATTTGAATGATGCATTGTTGGAAATTGAAAATATGCTAACAACTTGGACGACGAATGGGAAACAATGGAAGGATCGGAAGACGCTTTTACATATCATCTTTATCTCTTTAACAATATTCTTCAAAACATTTTAGAAGAGAAAATGGCACCTGCGTTATAGTTGAAGTTGGAACAATTGTGCATGACTAAAAGTCTGACAAATAAATTACATCTGAAACAGAGGTTATATTCTTATCGCATGGTAGAGGCGGATCTTTAGAAGATCATTTGGCTATGTTCCAGGAGATCATCGTTGATTTGAAAACTTTATAGATAAAGTATGATGAAAATTTTTTGGCCTTAATCCTTTGTGTTACCTTCCTTTTTTTTTTTTTTATTACTTCATTTAAAGACACGATCTTATATAGTTGTAACGCTCCCACCATTGAAAATGCGTAACGCCTTGTTTTTAAAAGAGAAGATGAAGCATTCAGTTTGATCTGAGGCCGAAGATGGAGAATGTCTTCTTGTTTCTGGTAATCAGTGAAGGGTAAGTCGAGATCAAATTTCAGTAATCGGATTTTTTATTACTGCAATAAAAAATGACACAGCAAGAGAAATTGCGACAAATTACAGAGCAAAGGTAATTTGACTGCAAATCATGGGAAACAATCAAATGCTTCAGATGAGACCAATATAGTTGAGAACAATTTGAGTGATGAAGATATTTTGACAATTTCTGACATGGAATTCAAACCTGATGATGGGTGGATTTCGAATACCCCTTTTGTGTTTCATATGCACTCCAATCTGGATTTGTTTGAAACATATGAAACGGTGACGCAATGTGTCGTTGTCATAGATAACAATGAACCTTATCGGGTAGCTGTATTGGCAAAGTCAGATTGTGTCAAGGTGGAGATCATTGAATTTTTTAATCCAAATTAGGTTGGATTTTTTAGAAAAAATTTTTTCCTTTGTTCCACATGATTTTTATCTTGTTTCCATCTTTTTAGTATTTCTAGATTTGGCATGCATCCTTATAAATATTAGACTCTTTTAACAAATTTTGTATTATTAAAATATAAAATAATTGTACACACAGTTATTGTATTTATTTTTTTCATATTAGTCAAATGAAGAAATACTTCATTCCTTTACCAATTAATTATTTGCCTATTAGCTTGTTGTTTGTTTACGACTATATATCTCATATCGTGTCATATACATTACTTCGATCTATTTTGTTTCCCAACAAATAGAGGGGTTTCTCTCCCCTAGTTTGCTACCAAAAATGGTAGTCTGGTTAATTGATAATGGCGTGATGGAGGTATAGTGGTGGTGAGGACACGATAGTCAATGTTGGAGGGGTGGTGGCAGTGTCTGTGTTAGTTTTTGACCATCGAAGTAGTATTTTGTCATAAATTATCGTATTTCTCAAGTTTTGATTGAGCAAATAATAATAATGTTCCATGATCATACAAATTGTTATAAATTGTATGCATTAAATATGGAAAGATACAAATATAACTTGATCAAAACTAATCGCTGGCCATGGGTAAATAATTTGGGTTATTATTTTTGGGATTTCGAAACATATATTAATTCATATTTTTAAAGTCATCAAGGAGAAGGCTAAGAGGTTAAAGTTAAAATTCTGAAAATTGATAGGATTGATAGCTACACTTCAAGGATCACTTCATGTGTTGAATGCTTCCTCCTTTTTAGATTTAAGTGGCACTTCCAGGTTTCTTTTTTGGAGATCCAAATACATCCTTTGTTTGGACTTTAAATTTACAAAGAAAATAATTGCGGGGAGAAAGAAGATGACTATTTTCTTTTTCTTTTTTTTTTTTGCTTCATTAAAAACATTTCATTAAGAATAATGAAGTCGTTATTTGCCAATTTTATTTTTTGAATATGCTAGTCAAGTGGATTGACTAACCGAAAAATAGATGAGAACTATAATTTGGATGAATGAAGCTAATTTTTCATGGGTTGTGGAAATGGTTGTCCTAAAAAAAAGTCAGGGATGAATACAAACGACATGAAAAGTTTGGGACATAAGATATTATTTACCAAAAAAAAAAGGACTTTGAAATTACCTATCGATAACTTAAAAAAATAATAATAAAATTTCATTGGTGATATTGATAGATTTCCCACGACGATCAACAATCGAAACACAGTCGACGGTTACCAACAACATCACCAATAACATTATTGTCGACAACCCTAAACACAAAAGTATCGATTATTATTATCAATACCGTTATCAATAATACAAGTTTGGATGTATTATTGACAATTTCCAAATTCATGCATTCTACGACTGGATAGTGATCATTCTGTATCATTTCAAGTTTGCTGCACACATTATTTTAAACATTAAACCGATTTGGTTGATTGGCTCGAAAATTTAAAACATGTATAAATCGGTTTGCAATTTGCAAATATATCAAACTACAAAAATAAATAACCATGTTTCCTCTATAGTAATTTAGCCTAATAAAATAAGCTATCGGACGAATGTATATAGCCCACAAATAATTAATGCATTCAATTATTTAGCAGTGGAGCGTTGGAAATAATATTTGATTTATGGACCACAAAGAGTTGGCTTTATTTAATCATTACTTTGTTGGCACTTGCTCCTGTCCTCGTCAAGCACTACATTAATACTAATGAGAGATTTCAAGGAAATTTCTGAAAACGTTGTCTCTACTGTACACAAATGCCGGTGATGTCAATTGGGACAGCAGGCCACGACAGAATATGGATGGTAATTATTAAGCCTTGTTTGGCTCACATTATTTTTTTTTAATAAATTTTTTATTAGTGTGTTGATGAAAAATATATAGTTAAAAAATAAGAAAAAATTTTGAATTTATGTGTAATATAATTTTATTGAAAAATGTGTGGTGAAAATAATGTCAAATCATTATTTAAGAATGTATTTTTTTTTTAAAATGTTGCTCAAATATAAATGATCGACTCTAAAATTTTGAAATTCTATTTTTATTTTTCATCGGATAATTTTAAAAATAAATCCATAACCTTTTTAATATCATGTTAAACCGCCTATTAAAAGTTCAAACTGTTAGAGACAGAAGTCTTTATTTATTCACATTTCTTACATTAACCAAAACACGCACTAAGGAAGAACATTTTGTATATTAGCAAATTAGTAGGTCTAATATTAAAGATTTCAAGTTACATCTTACTAACAAATTTTGTGATCCATTGTAATAAGGGTATCACGTGCATCAGCATATGTACAAATAAATTTTCAATTAGTATAATAAGATAATAATATTAATACTAATCTATAAAGTATTTTAATAGATTTTTATAAAAATTGATTAAAATATTGTGAATAGAGGTGGCGATCGAGCATCGATTCGACCGCTCGGCTAGTAAAAAGGTGACTCGTGGGGCAAGCCTGAGCCCGAGACGAGTAGGCCGACTCGCCCACAAGGCTTGTGGGCAAGCTCGTGACTTGTGATGAACAATGACCAAAATGGCCACTTTTTTAAAAGAAGTGATGTTTTCGTCATATTTAAAAATAACGTATTAATTTTAGAAGTAATTTTTAACTTTTCAAAAATCCTATCAAAAGGACCCTTAATAATCTTTTGAACTTTGAAGTGATATTACAGAAAAACAAATATAAGAACAAGATTAAAATGAAAACTTATCACCATATATAGACTAACATCTTAACCGTAGTACTAAAAGATAACCACTTCAATACACCTTACATAATTCTTATTACAAGAATTTTATTATCGCTTCCATACCAAAATTGGTATCAAAGCAAGGAAATTGCCTTAATCTGATGGTTACGATGGTCTGATGGTAGTCGAATCGTCGACGACGAATGGAGGCTCGACAAACTCAAACAATGAATCGAGGGGATCAACGAAACCCTTCATAACATCGCGCATTTGTGAACGTTTTAAAATTCTTATTACAAGAATTTTATTGTCATTTTCGCAACAAAATTGGTATCGAAGTAAGGAAATTGTCTTAATCTGATGGTTGACGATGATCCTGGTGATAGTTGAATCATCAATGATGAACGTAGGCTCGACAGACTCGAATAACGAATCGAGAAAATCGACAAAACCCTTCATAACATCACGCAAATGCTGACTGCATTGAGTTTTGAAAGGAATCGTGAGCCCATGAAGAAACAAGCTGATAAGAATTTACAAACTTTAACTACTATGAATGTTGGTTGTTTCAACAATCTTAAAACACGGCAAAGGATGGCCAGAGAGTTTCCTCGAGTCCCAGCTAAATTTTGATACACGCAAGTTATTAAGAATTCTACGAAGATTTAAGAAGAAGATATAAAAGAGTCCAATTTAAAGTGCAAGAAGATTTTTAGAACACGATGCACCATCAACAATGAAGTATGCAAGGTGATAATAAATCAGAAAGTAGTCAGACTTGGTATCCAAAGCATTGGTGAAAAGCTTTAAATTTGAAGACCTAAAAGTATTCATTTTCCTGTCAAGTTTCACATGTTAAGTTTTCATTTTAATCTTCAATCAACTTTTCCAATTGACGTCGGCATTCAGACATGAAATCTAGTACCTTAACCATAGTACTAAAAGCAAAAGCAAATAAAAGAAAAAAAAAATAAAAATAGAAAAGCAATTTCACATAAGCTTGAGCAAACACCATACAATGTTAACAATCAGACAAAAAGTCAACAAACCCTAAGAAATCCAAGTCATTTTCCCACTTTGGTCATGTTTAAAAATTACGTAGTTGTTGGGGTGGGGTTTGCAAATTATATCACTTCATAATATCAATGGTTGGTCGGTCTTCGGTTACTTACTTATAATTAATTATTATTTTTTGCTTTTGCTTAAACAGATTAATTTTGAAACACTTTTTTGCTTCCTCAACTTGGAGATTGACGCACTGAACAAGCAACCACTTGTGCCCATTGCCTCAACCTTGTCTTCACCGTCTGTGGATTATCCCCTATGAAAGAAAGGTCATATAATTAAATTATAACTCGTTCAAGAACACCAAGCTTAATCGATATAGAACCGATCGACTTTTCGTATAAAGAAAAAGGAGGTCGGGTGAATATCGGATCGATCTGACAGTTCTTTAAAACATTCTTGATTTCTTGTAGTACTATGTTAATAGAACAAGATCGAAAGTCGAGGTTATGGATCATATTTAGGAGGATAAACCCCTAGAGAGAAAATTTGTGAAAATATAAAGAAGAAGAAAGGAAGTCCTTTATTTACCGGCGCCGAATATGGTGTGGGGGCTTCCAAGTGGAGATGACGTATCGCACTCGGAGGTGGCGGATGAAAGTGGCGGCGGAGGCTTTGAAATAGTATCGTTGTAATGTTTGTTCACTGAATAGTAAAGGCCATAAGCCGGAAAAGTATCGGACAGCCGCTTGTCCATTTCGGGAGAGTCAAATCCGAATCCCAGCTCTATGCATGCCTTCAGTTCATCTAAATCTTCGTCGGTGACACTCTTGCTCCGCCTGTTACGTCGGTCCTTACGCCGCAGCCACGCCTCGTCGCGGTAGGAGTCGGGGGACCAAGAATTCTGTTTGCAAAGAGAGGAAGCTACATGAGGCGGCGGCGGGGAGGAGGGTGGATGCTGTGACGGCTGAGGTGGTAGAGGTGGGGTGGTGGGGTTTGACATGGAGGTAGTGGTGGAGCACCGCGGGCCGCCCAACCCCTACGGCGGGGAGATAGGGAGGCCGTCGGAAAGCTCTACTGCTCGAAGTTTTTGTTTTTGTCAAATTGAAGGTGTGAAGGCTGGGTGGGTGGGTTATATGTTGTTTTTGTTCTTCTTACTGGGCTTTGATTGGTACTGCCAGGATGTGGGGCCTGCAAGCTAAGCATTGTTTGGCAACCGTCATCGTAACCTGTCATTTAATTTTATTTTAATTTTTAATTTCTTTTTAATTTTTTTTGGGGGGAAATCCTTACCATGAAAATGTGAAGATTTTAGAGAAGAAAATATACCTTTCATGATAATAAAATTTTATTAATTATATTATTTGATCTTCTCCCTCACCGTTTACCAAATACATATGTTCAATGTTCAACTTTTGATTTATACATGTTAAAATATTATTATTCGCTAATTGAAAATAACAAAAGTTCTTAAGAACAAAAGATTCAATAATTTAGAAAAAAAAAATAAAAATTAATTTAATCATATTTTTGTGACAATTCCAGCGCATTTTATTTAATCCTTGAGCTAATCTTACGAACATGTAGACAGATGAGAATCCACTATAATCATATTTCTGAAGAATCTTTCGTATAGCTCAATAACTTATTGATGTAACTTATTGATGTAATCTAAATGCATATGGAGGCGCAAATTTAATTCAATTTAGTTGCTTATTTAATTTATTTTTAGTATTTTTATTTCTTTTTTATTAGTATTTTATTTAGAGGCAATTAAGCTTCCATTTGATCTAGAAAAAAATATAGATTTTTGATAAATTTTGATTAAACCCAAAAAAAATAAAAAAAATTGATGGAATGTGTGAGGAAATCCAACAAAATGTATGATTAAATTAAGAGGTCATTAGCACAACATGTCTTTACATTTTAATGCTATTGTGCAAAACGTTCTTACATTTCATTTTTTTGGTATTTTCACCTTTCATTACGAAAATATCATTTTTCATCCAATTTCTCGATAAAAAATGTAAAATGACAAATATACTATCATATTTAAATAAAAAAATAAAAGAAAAATTAAAAATAAATTGAAATTATACTCCCAAACTTCTTAAAAAACTACGAATGAGTTCAAATAAATTATTAAAAGAATAATTAGCACAAAATGTCCTTATCTTTCAATATTGTAGTGCAAAATGTCCATATGTTTCATTTTTTTGGCATTTTTACCCTTAGTTTTATATTACATTATGAAAATCATTATTTTCTTCCATTTTCTCAATAAAAAATATGTATAATAACGAATATGCCCTCCTTAATTTTTTTTATTTTTCTTTTCTTTATTTGGATTTTTTAAAGGACATTTCACTTAACATGCTTGTTTGATAAAACTTTTTGAAATTTTACCGATTATTCAACAGGTCAAACTTCAATTTTAATCAAACATTTCATTAGACTCACAATTTCTATAAATTTTGGTCAATATTTGTTAAAATTTTATTAAAAAATTTGTCTCACAACTTCAATAAATTGTAAATTTTTCTTTGAAATTTAATTCTAATATCGAGTTTGAGAAGTTTATTAACTTGTTATAAATTTGAAAGTTCTTGCTGAATTGAGATGTGATGAAAGTTGAGAGATAACAAAATATTGGAATATAATTCCTTCGATTTATAAATAAATTTTGGACAAATAAAAGACTTTAACGTATTTAGTATTTACAATCAATTATTTCTTCTTCAATTATGAGAGAAAAGGAAATATTTATCCGTTGGGAGTGAAATTTAAAATTGTGGGTCATCATTTAATTATTGTGTTACCGCTGGCTTCTAAAGATAACTTACTAAAGATTTTGTTGTGCACATAAATAAAGAAACAAGGAGAGTGAAAAATATCATCAAAAAGGAAAGTTATAGATTATAGTGCATGAGAATGTCGATTTTCACGACACGCAAATATAATTGTCTTGTAATAATTGAGTATAGATGTTAAATGAACTAACTAATCAATTATGATAACTCTGATTTTTGAGTTCGTACGAGATTTAACGAATAAAAATATTTTCTAAATACTTAAGAGTCGAGGAGTTTTTGCTTATGAAAATTCCGTTAAGCAATCCCTTTTTGTTTTTAAATTAGTAGAGTACCTTTGCAACTCTATTAGGAATTTGCTCGTGGTAGAAACAAATCTAATTCATTGTATTTTATGCTTATAGGAGTTATCTCTAAGGCGAACATTATCGACATGATTTTGTGTGTGAGGGCATGATTGCTTTTTCACTGTCACAATTTGAGTTTATGAATGATCACCTACCGAGTTAGTAAAAATTTCCTTGCAATTGGATAGCTTACATAGGTTCAAAATAAATCATTATATATGTTCTCTGGCCTGTTGGGGTACATCTCGCGATTTACCTCCCTCATAAAGCTCTAGAAATGGGGCGGTGAGGACCATTAGTGTTGGGGTTCAACATTTTTTTAAAAATAAATCACTATATACACGATTTTTTAATACAATAAATAGTCTTGACCATACCTGCTATTTTGTACATATCATTTGAGTTTTGGTGGCATTTCTTAACACGTTAATTTGGCTTAAACCACATCAATCACAAATTTAATTTTTCTGAACATGATTTTTATGTGTTGAATCATAAAAATAATAGATAACTTCTACGTATATAACTGCTATTGATGATGATCAAACGAATAGCTTGAAGAACTTCTATGATGTCACAATTTAATACAATGAATCTTAGCTTTTGCTAAATATTGCATTTATTTAGCAAGAAAAAAGTCATTTGTGATGAATCTTCATTTCACAAAATTTCCTCATTTTTCAATAGAATTGAGGGATGAATAAGTAGAAATTACTTATAAATTATATATATTTGACCAACAATGTTTATAATTAGTGATGATTATAAATTATAAATAGCAGAAAGATTCTTCCGAGGTTTCGTACAATATTTGTAAAGAACAATGAAGCCGCAGTAGAGAAATATACGGCTGGTTTCTGACTTTTTCTGTTCATTGCTTAATTCTAATAAAAAAAGGTTGAACCCCAACCTTGAGGGCCCTCACCGCCCCGCCCCGCCCCTAGAGCTTTGTGAGGGAGGTAAATTGCGGGATGTGTCCCAATAGGCTAGGGAACAAGAGCTGCATGTACACTGCGCCTACAAGAAGTCCAATTCCATGTCTCAGGAATCGAACCTCCACACTGTGGCTGCCAGCAAGGCGTGAGATAACCTCACTCCTATCCTTTGCACCACTAGGCTATGCTCCGGAGGGCAGGTTCTGCAATTTTTATGCAGAATAGTGTTGGATTTTTTTATTCAAATTAGGTTGGGTTTTTTAGAACATATTTTTTCTTTTATTCCACATAATTTTTTTTAATCTTGTTTCCATCTTTTTGGAATGTATAGGTTTTGGCATGCAACCTGATAAATACTAAGCTTTTTTCACGAGTTTTGTATTACTGAAATATATAATAATTGTGTAGACATAGTATTTGTGTTTGTTTTTTCCATTTTAGTATAAAATACTTTCTTCCTCTGGCAATTAATTCTTTGTTTTTATCTTGTTATTTGTTTGCTATCATATACTTCATATCGTGTCATATATATTACCTCGATCCGTTTTATTTCTCAACAAGGGGTATCAGCAATACTAGTTGTGATTTGCTCAAGGTTTTTGATATTGATTACAGCCATGAAGTATGAAATTTCGTCCTTGAATCGCAATAAAAGATTCTCGCAACGGCAAGTGAAGATGCGAGCTGTACAAACGCAGATGAATTTGAATGATGCATTGTTGGAAATTGAAAATATGCTAACAACTTGGACGACGAATGGGAAACAATGGAAGGATCGAAAGACGCTTTTACATATCATCTTTATCTCTTTAACAATATTCTTCAAAACATTTTAGAAGAGAAAATGGCACCTGCGTTATAGTTGAAGTTGGAACAATTGTGCATGACTAAAAGTCTGACAAATAAATTACATCTGAAACAGAGGTTATATTCTTATCGCATGGTAGAGGCGGATCTTTAGAAGATCATTTGGCTATGTTCAAGGAGATCATCGTTGATTTGAAAACTTTAGAGATAAAGTATGATGAAAATTTTTTGGCCTTAATCCTTTGTGTTACCTTCCTTTTTTTTTTTTTTATTACTTCATTTAAAGACACGATCTTGTATAGTTGTAACGCTCCCACCATTGAAAATGCGTAACGCCTTGTTTTTAAAAGAGAAGATGAAGCATTCAGTTTGATCTGAGGCCGAAGATGGAGAATGCCTTGTTGTTTCTGGTAATCAGTGAAGGGTAAGTCGAGATCAAATTTCAGTAATCGGATTTTTTATTACTACAATAAAAAATGACACAGCAAGAGAAATTGCGACAAATTACAGAGCAAAGGTAATTTGACTGCAAATCATGGGAAACAATCAAATGCTTCAGATGAGACCAATATAGTTGAGAACAATTTGAGTGATGAAGATATTTTGACAATTTCTGACATGGAATTCAAACCTGATGATGGGTGGATTTCGAATACCCCTTTTGTGTTTCATATGCACTCCAATCTGGATTTGTTTGAAACATATGAAACGGTGATGCAATGTGTCGTTGTCATAGATAACAATGAACCTTATCGGGTAGCTGTATTGGCAAAGTCAGATTGTGTCAAGGTGGAGATCATTGAATTTTTTAATCCAAATTAGGTTGGATTTTTTAGAAAAATTTTTTTCCTTTGTTCCACATGATTTTTATCTTGTTTCCATCTTTTTAGTATTTCTAGATTTGGCATGCATCCTTATAAATATTAGACTCTTTTAACAAATTTTGTATTATTAAAATATAAAATAATTGTACACACAGTTATTGTATTTATTTTTTTCATATTAGTCAAATGAAGAAATACTTCATTCCTTTACCAATTAATTATTTGCCTATTAGCTTGTTGTTTGTTTACGACTATATATCTCATATCGTGTCATATACATTACTTCGATCTATTTTGTTTCCCAACAAATAGAGGGGTTTCTCTCCCCTAGTTTGCTACCAAAAATGGTAGTCTGGTTAATTGATAATGGCGTGATGGAGGTATAGTGGTGGTGAGGACACGATAGTCAATGTTGGAGGGGTGGTGGCAGTGTCTGTGTTAGTTTTTGACCATCGAAGTAGTATTTTGTCATAAATTATCGTATTTCTCAAGTTTTGATTGAGCAAATAATAATAATGTTCCATGATCATACAAATTGTTATAAATTGTATGCATTAAATATGGAAAGATACAAATATAACTTGATCAAAACTAATCGCTGGCCATGGGTAAATAATTTGGGTTATTATTTTGGGATTTCGAAACATATATTAATTCATATTTTTAAAGTCATCGAGGAGAAGGCTAAGAGGTTAAAGTTAAAATTCTGAAAATTGATAGGATTGATAGCTACACTTCACGGATCACTTCATGTGTTGAATGCTTCCTCCTTTTTAGATTTAAGTGGCACTTCCAGGTTTCTTTTTTGGAGATCCAAATACATCCTTTGTTTGGACTTTAAATTTACAAAGAAAATAATTGCGGGGAGAAAGAAGATGACTATTTTCTTTTTCTTTTTTTTTTTTGCTTCATTAAAAACATTTCATTAAGAATAATGAAGTCGTTATTTGCCAATTTTATTTTTTGAATATGCTAGTCAAGTGGATTGACTAACCGAAAAATAGATGAGAACTATAATTTGGATGAATGAAGCTAATTTTTCATGGGTTGTGGACATGGTTGTCCTAAAAAAAAGTCGGGGATGAATACAAACGACATGAAAAGTTTGGGACATAAGATATTATTTACCAAAAAAAAGGACTTTGAAATTATCTATCGATAACTTACAAAAATAATAATAAAATTTCATTGGTGATATTGATAGATTTCCCACGACGATCAACAATCGAAACACTGTCGACGGTTACCAACAACATCACCAATAACATTATTGTCGACAATCCTAAACACAAAAGTATTGATTATTATTATCAATACCGTTATCAATAATACAAGTTTGGATGTATTATTGACAATTTCCAAATTCATGCGTTCTACGACTGGATAGTGATCATTCTGTATCATTTCAAGTTTGCTGCACACATTATTTTAAACATTAAACCGATTTGGTTGATTGGCTCGAAAATTTAAAACATGTATAAATCGGTTTGCAATTTGCAAATATATCAAACTACAAAAATAAATAACCATGTTTCCTCTATAGTAATTTAGCCTAATAAAATAAGCTATCGGACGAATGTATATAGCCCACAAATAATTAATGCATTCAATTATTTAGCAGTGGAGCGTTGGAAATAATATTTGATTTATGGACCACAAAGAGTTGGCTTTATTTAATCATTACTTTGTTGGCACTTGCTCCTGTCCTTGTCAAGCACTACATTAATACTAATGAGAGATTTCAAGGAAATTTCTGAAAACGTTGTCTCTACTGTACACAAATGCCGGTGATGTCAATTGGGACAGCAGGCCACGACAGAATATGGATGGTAATTATTACGCCTTGTTTGGGTCACATTATTTTTTTTTAATAAATTTTTTATTAGTGTGTTGATGAAAAATATATAATTAAAAAATAAGAAAAATTTTTGAATTTATGTGTAATATAATTTTATTGAAAAATGTGTGGTGAAAATAATGTCAAATCATTATTTAAGAATGTATTTTTTTTTAAATGTTGCTCAAATATAAATGATCGACTCTAAAATTTTGAAATTCTATTTTTATTTTTCATCGGATAATTTTAAAAATAAATCCATAACCTTTTTAATATCATGTTAAACCGCCTATTAAAAGTTCAAACTGTTAGAGACAGAAGTCTTTATTTATTCACATTTCTTACATTAACCAAAACACGCACTAAGGAAGAACATTTTGTATATTAGCAAATTAGTAGGTCTAATATTAAAGATTTCAAGTTACATCTTACTAACAAATTTTGTGATCCATTGTAATAAGGGTATCACGTGCATCAGCATATGTACAAATAAATTTTCAATTAGTATAATAAGATAATAATATTAATACTAATCTATAAAGTATTTTAATAGATTTTTATAAAAATTGATTAAAATATTGTGAATAGAGGTGGCGATCGAGCATCGATTCGACCGCTCGGCTAGTAAAAAGGTGACTCGTGGGGCAAGCCTGAGCCCGAGACGAGCAGGCCGACTCGCCCACAAGGCTTGTGGGCAAGCTCGTGACTTGTGATGAACAATGACCAAAATGGCCACTTTTTTAAAAGAAGTGACGTTTTCGTCATATTTAAAAATAACGTATTAATTTTAGAAGTAATTTTTAACTTTTCAAAAATCCTATCAAAAGGACCCTTAATAATCTTTTGAACTTTGAAGTGATATTACAGAAAAACAAATATAAGAACAAGATTAAAATGAAAACTTATCACCATATATAGACTAACATCTTAACCGTAGTACTAAAAGATAACCACTTCAATACACCTTACATAATTCTTATTACAAGAATTTTATTATCGCTTCCATACCAAAATTGGTATCAAAGCAAGGAAATTGCCTTAATCTGATGGTTACGATGGTCTGATGGTAGTCGAATCGTCGACGACGAATGGAGGCTCGACAAACTCAAACAATGAATCGAGGGGATCAACGAAACCCTTCATAACATCGCGCATTTGTGAACGTTTTAAAATTCTTATTACAAGAATTTTATTGTCATTTTCGCAACAAAATTGGTATCGAAGTAAGGAAATTGTCTTAATCTGATGGTTGACGATGATCCTGGTGATAGTTGAATCATCAATGATGAACGTAGGCTCGACAGACTCGAATAACGAATCGAGAAAATCGACAAAACCCTTCATAACATCACGCAAATGCTGACTGCATTGAGTTTTGAAAGGAATCGTGAGCCCATGAAGAAACAAGCTGATAAGAATTTACAAACTTTAACTACTATGAATGTTGGTTGTTTCAACAATCTTAAAACACGGCAAAGGATGGCCAGAGAGTTTCCTCGAGTCCCAGCTAAATTTTGATACACGCAAGTTATTAAGAATTCTACGAAGATTTAAGAAGAAGATATAAAAGAGTCCAATTTAAAGTGCAAGAAGATTTTTAGAACACGATGCACCATCAACAATGAAGTATGCAAGGTGATAATAAATCAGAAAGTAGTCAGACTTGGTATCCAAAGCATTGGTGAAAAGCTTTAAATTTGAAGACCTAAAAGTATTCATTTTCCTGTCAAGTTTCACATGTTAAGTTTTCATTTTAATCTTCAATCAACTTTTCCAATTGACGTCGGCATTCAGACATGAAATCTAGTACCTTAACCATAGTACTAAAAGCAAAAGCAAATAAAAGAAAAAAAAAATAAAAATAGAAAAGCAATTTCACATAAGCTTGAGCAAACACCATACAATGTTAACAATCAGACAAAAAGTCAACAAACCCTAAGAAATCCAAGTCATTTTCCCACTTTGGTCATGTTTAAAAATTACGCAGTTGTTGGGGTGGGGTTTGCAAATTATATCACTTCATAATATCAATGGTTGGTCGGTCTTCGGTTACTTACTTATAATTAATTATTATTTTTTGCTTTTGCTTAAACAGATTAATTTTGAAACACTTTTTTGCTTCCTCAACTTGGAGATTGACGCACTGAACAAGCAACCACTTGTGCCCATTGCCTCAACCTTGTCTTCACCGTCTGTGGATTATCCCCTATGAAAGAAAGGTCATATAATTAAATTATAACTCGTTCAAGAACACCAAGCTTAATCGATATAGAACCGATCGACTTTTCGTATAAAGAAAAAGGAGGTCGGGTGAATATCGGATCGATCTGACAGTTCTTTAAAACATTCTTGATTTCTTGTAGTACTATGTTAATAGAACAAGATCGAAAGTCGAGGTTATGGATCATATTTAGGAGGATAAACCCCTAGAGAGAAAATTTGTGAAAATATAAAGAAGAAGAAAGGAAGTCCTTTATTTACCGGCGCCGAATATGGTGTGGGGGCTTCCAAGTGGAGATGACGTATCGCACTCGGAGGTGGCGTATGAAAGTGGCGGCGGAGGCTTTGAAATAGTATCGTTGTAATGTTTGTTCACTGAATAGTAAAGGCCATAAGCCGGAAAAGTATCGGACAGCCGCTTGTCCATTTCGGGAGAGTCAAATCCGAATCCCAGCTCTATGCATGCCTTCAGTTCATCTAAATCTTCGTCGGTGACACTCTTGCTCCGCCTGTTACGTCGGTCCTTACGCCGCAGCCACGCCTCGTCGCGGTAGGAGTCGGGGGACCAAGAATTCTGTTTGCAAAGAGAGGAAGCTACATGAGGCGGCGGCGGGGAGGAGGGTGGATGCTGTGACGGCTGAGGTGGTAGAGGTGGGGTGGTGGGGTTTGACATGGAGGTAGTGGTGGAGCACCGCGGGCCGCCCAACCCCTACGGCGGGGAGATAGGGAGGCCGTCGGAAAGCTCTACTGCTCGAAGTTTTTGTTTTTGTCAAATTGAAGGTGTGAAGGCTGGGTGGGTGGGTTATATGTTGTTTTTGTTCTTCTTACTGGGCTTTGATTGGTACTGCCAGGATGTGGGGCCTGCAAGCTAAGCATTGTTTGGCAACCATCATCGTAACCTGTCATTTAAATTTTTTAAAATTTTTTTTGGGGGAAATCCTTACCATGAAAATGTGAAGATTTTAGAGAAGAAAATATCCCTTTCATGATAATAAAATTTTATTAATTATATTATTTGATCTTCTCCCTCACCGCTTACCAAATAGATATGTTCAATGTTCAACTTTTGAGTTTTTTTAGCCCCGTTTGGTACTCTTTTTTTTTTAAATGTATTTTTCTTTCTTTTCTTTTCAATCACAAATTTTTTATTAAAATAATATTACACATAAATCAAAAATATTTTCTTATTTTTTAACCACACACTTTCCATCAAATTACTATTCTAAAATGTATTTTTACATAAAAATAGCTCTCGAACACATATATATGTTAAAATATTATTATTCGCTAATTGAAAATAACAAAAGTTCTTAAGAACAAAAGATTCAATAATTTAGAAAAAAAAAATAAAAATTAATTTAATCATATTTTTGTGACAATTCCAGCGCATTTTATTTAATCCTTGAGCTAATCTTACGAACATGTAGACAGATGAGAATCCATCTGAAGAATATTTCGCAAAGCTCAATTTTCGTAATTAGCATAAAATGTCTCTCTTTTAATGCTATTTTACAAAACGTCCTTACATTTCATTTTTTGATATTTTCACCTTTAATTGTTAAAATATCATTTTCATCCAATTTCTCAATAAAAAATGTAAAATGACAAATATACTCTCATATTTAAATAAAAAATAAATTGAAATTATACTTCCAAACATCTTAAAAAAACTACAAATGAGTTCAAATAAATTATTAAAAGAGTAATTAGCACAAAATGTCCTTATCTTTCAATATTGTTGTGCAAAATGTCCATATTTTTCATTTTTTTGGCATTTTTACCCTAAGTTTTATATTACATTATGAAAATCATCATTTTCTTCCATTTTCTCAATAAAAAAATGTATAATAACGAATATGCCCTCCTTAAATTTTTTTAATTTTCTTTTCTTTATTTGGATTTTTTAAAGGACATTTCACTTAACATGCTTGTTCGATAAAACTTTTTGAAATTTTACCGATTATTCAACAAGTCAAACTTCAATTTTAATCAAACATTTCATTGGACTCACAGTTTCTATAAATTTTTGTCAAAAATTGTTAAAATTTATTAAAAATTTGTCGCACAACTTCAATAAATTGTAAATTTTTCTTTGAAATTTAATTCTATTACCGAGTTTGAGAAGTTTATTAACTTGTTATAAATTTGAAAGTTCTTGCTGAATTGAGATGTGATGAAAGTTGAGAGATAACAAAATATTGGAATATAATTCCTTCCATTTATGAATAAATTTTGGACAAATAAAAGACTTTAACGTATTTAGTATTTACAATCAATTATTTCTTCTTCAATTATGAGAGAAAAGGAAATATTCATCCGTTGGGAGTGAAATTTAAAATTGTGGGTCATCATTTAATTATTGTGTTACCGCTGGCTTCTAAAGATAACTTACTAAAGATTTTGTTGTGCACATAAATAAAGAAACAAGGAGAGTGAAAAATATCATCAAAAAGGAAAGTTATAGATTATAGTGCATGAGAATGTCGATTTTCACGACACGCAAATATAATTGTCTTGTAATAATTGAGTATAGATGTTAAATGAACTGACTAATCAATTATGATAACTCTGATTTTTGAGTTAGTACGAGATTTAACGAATAAAAATATTTTTTTAAATGCTTAAGAGTCGAGGAGTTTTTGCTTATGAAAATTCCGTTAAGCAATCCCTTTTTGTTTTTAAATTAGTAGAGTACCTTTGCAACTCTATTAGGAATTTGCTCGTGGTAGAAACAAATCTAATTCATTGTATTTTATGCTTATAGGAGTTATCTCTAAGGCGAACATTATCGACATGATTTTGTGTGTGAGGGCATGATTGCTTTTTCACTGTCACAATTTGAGTTTATGAATGATCACCTACCGAGTTAGTAAAAATTTCCTTGCAATTGGATAGCTTACATAGGTTCAAAATAAATCATTATATATGTTCTCTGGCCTGTTGGGGTACATCTCGCGATTTACCTCCCTCATAAAGCTCTAGAAATGGGGCGGTGAGGACCATTAGTGTTGGGGTTCAACATTTTTTTAAAAATAAATCACTATATACACGATTTTTTAATACAATAAATAGTCTTGACCATACCTGCTATTTTGTACATATCATTTGAGTTTTGGTGGCATTTCTTAACACGTTAATTTGGCTTAAACCACATCAATCACAAATTTAATTTTTCTGAACATGATTTTTATGTGTTGAATCATAAAAATAATAGATAACTTCTACGTATATAACTGCTATTGATGATGATCAAACGAATAGCTTGAAGAACTTCTATGATGTCACAATTTAATACAATGAATCTTAGCTTTTGCTAAATATTGCATTTATTTAGCAAGAAAAAAGTCATTTGTGATGAATCTTCATTTCACAAAATTTCCTCATTTTTCAATAGAATTGAGGGATGAATAAGTAGAAATTACTTATAAATTATATATATTTGACCAACAATGTTTATAATTAGTGATGATTATAAATTATAAATAGCAGAAAGATTCTTCCGAGGTTTCGTACAATATTTGTAAAGAACAATGAAGCCGCAGTAGAGAAATATACGGCTGGTTTCTGACTTTTTCTGTTCATTGCTTAATTCTAATCGAACTCCTTATTTTGAAGTCAAGATTCAAGAGAGAGGGTGAGAAAACGAATTGTATAACATTAACTTGACGCGTGATTGTCGGCGAAAATATTTGTCTTTTGCATGTTCCATTCGCTTGTTGACTTACTTTACTTACAAGTTACTAATAATTATTTATTTACTAATTTATTTATTAAATAGGATGAGAAAGTTACATATACATCAAAATATTATTAACATCTTGTTTGGAGGGGATTTTTTATCTCAAAAATTGATTTTTTATCGTTATTTCACTATTTTAATCGTAATTATTGATTTCTTCTCTCACAGGTAAACCTCACCTTTCTTCTAACGGTGAAAAAATCAATTCTCAAAATTCTTCCCAAACGGGGCCTAAGCCTCTGTTCGGATCTAATTTTAGAACAAAATTCTTTAATTTTTATACTTATTTGTAATCATATATTTATATAAAAAATATTTTACATGTAAATCTATAATTTTCCCTATTTTTTAACCACACATTCTCCAAAAAATCACTATTCAAAACTTTATATTTTCAAAATAAAATGACCATCAAACAAGGGCTAAATAGAACAAGAAAGCTACTTATTTATAAAAATATTTTTTTATTTACTTTTAAACTCAAGCATGATTGATATTTTCTCGAATTATCGAACTTGTTATGAGACGCTTAGAAGTCAATGCATGCAATAGCAGAGCCAGCACCCAGCGACCTGAAGTGGTCGCTTGTGCTTGCCCCGTCAAAATTTACAGTTGTTGTCAGGAGCTCGCCAGCCAGGGAGGAAGAAACTTGAACTGCAGAGGTGGAAATGAAATCGAAAGAAGCCCGAAGGAAGATGACACAGGTTTATTAATTGGGCATTTGTTATGTTTTGGGCCTTCTTTAGCCTCCAGTTTATTAAAAAATTAGGCTCAAATTCATTTTCATGCGTGGACCCATGGTTCAATAGAAAAGCAATTACCAAATCCATTACCCACCATTCATGTTAACCAATTCGGCCATTACATTTTCCAATTCCATAATTTCCATGCAAACCCTTCCTCCCTCTTGAGTTCGAACTCAGCACCCGTGACCTCTTGCTACGTTGCTTCTGGCGAGTCTCCGTCGACGACACCTTCTCCGATCTCGGTGAATGTGAGCGTCCTCTCTCTCTCTTTGGTTTTTGTACTTTTAATTCATTTTTTAGTTTATCATTTATGAGTAATAATTTATGTTTTATGAGTTATAAATGTGATTTGTGATAAATAATTCAAGAAAAATTTCCTGCCTAGTTCCTACCTAATGATTATTGAAGAATTTTGCAGATTATAAATAATTTGAAAATTTTTGATTGATAAATTGAAACCAATTTTAATTGATTTTGTTAATATTTTGTTGCCTGTTTAATTAATTTTAATTGAAAAGTTATTCTCGGCTCTGTTTTTCAAGGTGTATTGAGATTTTTTTTTTCGTTAACCAATTTTAATTTAACTATAAATTGGGAAATTTTGTAGATTATGGAATGATTTTTTCAACAAAACAAAAGCCTATACTTAGTTCTTCTAGTTCTAGTAGTGTATTTGTTGGGAAAATTTACATCAATTACATGCATATTATATTCACAAAAGCATACCGATTATTTGCGTGAAATCAAAACGTAATTTCGATTTACCGAAATAGGATTTGAGAAGAAAAACATAAAAATTACCGAATCTGAATGCATGAATATAGATTCATCTCTTTCGATTCTTGAACGAAAGCAAATTATTCTTTTGATCGAACATTGCAACATAAACATGTAAACAATGTTAATCATTTTTCGAAATCAAAATATAATCCAAATAAATCAGAAAACTGTAGGAAGAAAGATGCAAGTGATGAATTTTTGGTCGAAGCAAGTGTTTGACACTTGGTTCTTAAGATGAATTTGCCCTGTATCGATGTTAACGATTTTTCAACAATTATCTCCCAAAATACAACGACCACATCAAGTCATAGGAGCACTCCAAATGACTTCGACCAACGAACTCAAACGGAATTCCCTCTCTACTAAGGAAATGCATGAAAATGTTATGGAATTAGAAAGGAGAGAATTGTAAGAGGAGAATGAATTTGCAATTGGTGTACCCAAAACCATATACATAGAGTTCTATTTATAGATGTAGAAAGGGTGCAAATGAAGTAGTGTGGGTCAAAACATGTATCCTTTTTAAAAA